TAATAAATAGCAATCTTTCCAGTGAGCTTGAATTTAAACTGGACCTTAATTATTTGTTTTATCCAAATTAATTTTTTTGAATTATTTGCTTTATTCAAATTAATATTAATATTAATATTAATTTCTTTATTTGAATTAATTTTTTTATTTGAATTAATTTCCTTATTTGAATCAATTTTCTTATTTGAATCAATTTTCTTATTGAATTAATTTTCTTATTTGAATTAATTTTTTATTTGAATTAATTTTCTTATTTGAATTAATTTTTTTATTTGAATTAATTTTCTTATTTGAATTAATTTTTTTATTTGAATAAACTTTCAATGTAATTTGAATAATCAAATTCATAATGAATAAAGTGGATAATTCGAATAGAAGCCCTAGGTCTAAAGACCTCCTGTTGCTGCGCCACGCGCTCAAATTTCAAAAAATTGCAATTTCATGATTTGTTCAAAAATGATTTAAAAAGGGTTTCACGTGATTTTGGTTAAAAAATTATTTTCTTACTGCCAAATTTAGTGATGATGTTCAAAAACTTAACAATGATCATAGCACTCAAATTTCTCATGGGCATAGTAAAGTACATGTTTTAAAAAAGAATAGAACTCTATAACAAAGGATTTTTTTGAGAAAACTTTTTTATTACATTAAAACTAAATACATATTCTATCAACTAATAGAGCTATTTTTTTAAAAGATAGGACAGAAAATGACTTCTATACTTTTAAAATTCGCCCAAAATTTAGGAGGTCTTTAGACCAAGCCAACTATACTGAATAGATGCAGAATGAATACACATGGAAAAAACATATTTTTGATATGGAATGCATCAGAAAACACATTTTGATGCGAAATACTTAATTTTACACATGTAATAATTATGACAGGCCCTGCTATAATTATGCATAAGTTATTCTTTACTTGCTTGTTACTTGGCAAGTTTCACACAACATTGAATAGCAAAAATGCCAATTATTCATCAAAATGGTACCAAATCACCTTTTAAATTTACATATTGGACAAGGTTCTAATTATCATATTCAAAGTCACATTAATATATATGTAATTTCCATTGTAATTTTACAAGTGAGTGCAATAGTTGCATAATATTGCTCTGGAAAAATTTCCTAATGAGGCATAGATTAGAAAAGAAAAGAAGGTAAAAAAACAAAATCTTAAAATGAAATGGTTTTAAAATTCAAACATAAAATCTATAATAGTATAATATACTTGTTGTGTCTCATTAACATCATAAACATCAATATAATCTTTATAACCATCTCTATTTATTCCAAATCCCTTTCTAAATTCAGATTCTGGCCATAATTAATATCATAATCATCACTCCCATCTAATTCCTGATCTAAAATTTGATTTTTATTTTGATTATTATCTTTTGGAATTGATAATTTATTCCATATGTAAGGAATGCATTCCATTCTATTATTATACTAATTTCAATATCATCAATATTTATTTCATTATTATTTCCTTCAATCTCTTTATCTTCATCATTGTATATATTTTCATTTCTGAAATGATATTTTAATTCCTCATTTGCTAATTCTTGTCCATAAAATGATAACTCATTTTTAGCATCTGACATAAAAATAAAATATTACCATTGTAATTTGATAATAATATTATTAAATTGATATATCGTTATTAATGGTAAACAAAAAGATGAATTTATTATTATGTATTTTTTAATATTATTATTTTAAAAAATAGCAAACATATATAACTTACTATTCTTGACATTATCACTACTACCAATATTAATATAATAAGTAGCATAATTTATTCATGGATTCTAGTTTTCATTGCTTAAATTGAATCTATGATTTCCACTAAACCATCCCAATTTGGAAAACTACACTCACTTGAAGCTGAGTTTGGAACAATTGAAAATGGTTTTTCTGCTGCTGCAATTCTTTTTCAGATTTCATAAATGGCCACAGGTAAGAACATCTTCTTCATTTGGGCAAATTCAACATTAAATGGCTCTCAATTATCAACATATTTTCTTAACAGTGGTGTATCTAAAAACCTAGTTTGTTAAATCCTACATTTTTTTCATATACTGCTAAATTTTTTATATATAGCATATTATCCTTTATTACTAAATCTAAATGATTTAAATAATTATTAAAATAATTAAAGAAATATATAGATATTTAAAATTTACCTTTATAAAAAAGTAATAAACTAAATATATCTCATCACCCCATCTTTTATCCATCACATCAATACAATGTGTACAAAACCCTTTGTTAAAAGTAATTGATAATTTTTTATAGTTGCTGCAACACAGACTAAAGAAGGAAAACAGACAGCTATTGTGGCTGTTGTAGGCTTAATAATTAAAATGGCCTTTTAATCAATGGTAAAACTATGCATAAAATTCTAAGATATGAATATTAATTTTATTAATAAAAAATTATTATAGATTGATTACCTCTTGTAAAGCTGGCTCTAACCTAATAACTAAAGCCCAGGATTTGTGAAAGTGATCGGTAATAAGGTTTCCGGCCCAAACTGGTTGGGACAATTTGGGCTTCTCAATATTTTTTATATATATATAAGAATAAAATTAATCAACAACTCTTTGTTACACTAGATTATTATTGGTTAGGACTAGTACGATGCAAAAAGTAGATTATCGCTTTTTTTGTTTACGTTGTCGTTGTCTACAATGTAAGTTTTATAAATAAACGTATATATATATATATATATATAATTATAAAAATGAATCAAATACAAGTACTGAAACTGTTTAATATTTCCTATTCTTTCTTTAGTCTAGTAGTTTTTTGCTACAAAAATAATAGAAGCGGAAGAGGATGGAAGAAATTTGTTCTAGTTGACATGACCATCAACAGCATCAACAACATTTCAAATAGCTAGTATGGTTGATACTATGTAATTATTAAAAATTCTTACATATATATTTACCAATGATTTTTATTTTGTCTGACATTGAGAATCTTTTTCACCACTGACAAAATCTAAAAAGCCATACTTGTCGTAGATGTTGCAATGTTCGAATTCTCTCATGACCTATGAAAATAATATTGAACAGGTGCCATTTGAATCGTATAAAATCAGTCCATAACCTTTCTATATTTATAAAGAACCCATACTTTTATAACGCTATTCATACCAACAATAACAATGAAAGGGATTATGCTTTTCATGTTAGAGAAGATCTTGAAGTAACAGCAAAGATAAAGAAAATAGAAACAGATGGAGTGTTATTAGAACTACATGCAACCTTCCAGTCAGGAGTCACTACAATAATAGGTAAGGTTTTAAATTTTAAACTTTAAATATATTTATTTAAATAACAAATATAACTTATGATTATTTTTATTTATTTGTTTAAAAAAAGTATTGATGAAATGTGTAAGGCCAATGTTGAAGTTCAAGAAGGTGGTGTGGTAATAATTAAAATTAAAAATAAAGAATATAAAAAATAAAATATAGAAATTCGAAAGCATTATTTTTTTTATTAATATTAATATTAAATGAATAAAATATAGAAATTCAAAAGTATTTTTATTAAATGAATAAAAATAAAAATTCAATAATATGTATTATTTTTTCAGTAAATTTTTTTCCCTTCTATATAATAATAAATTTTACTTTTATATGTTGTCTCATTGCGATTTCTATGATTATCATTCGAAATCCCAAATTTCTAACATTTATCATACTCAAAAATCACATATTGTTATTATGTAGACTTTAAAGATAGATAGTCGATGATTTAAAATATCAACAGTCTACACATATATAATTAATCATTTGATTTAATCTTCACCAGAATTCAATTAATTGAAATAAAAGCTTTTGTAGTCTTATCTTCCTAATCTATATATCATGCTTATAATTCATTGATCTATAAGGATGGAGCGGTTTCAAGTAAATTGCTAATTCTAGAACTGATTTTTTCCTTGCAAGCTACTAATTAAATTTGTTTACAATTATTTAATATGAGTTACTTATTGGAGATAAGTAACAAAATTTCTTGAGAATCCAGAATCTTTAGAATTATAGGAATTTTGGGACTGGTTCAGAATGATCTCAAATAACGAAATTGTTAGTTTTGGAGATGGTTTTCTGGTTATAGAATTTATTTATACCAATTTTTTAAAGGGTGTTGTTATTTATTGTAGTTAAGCAGTTGGACTTTTCTAAAATTAGCAATTTACTTGGAACCAGTTTGAACTGATTTGGAATCGCATCATCCCTATTAATCTATAGACTTTAAAGATTGTCAACAATTTAAGAAATGTGAATTATTGTCATATTTCAGATTTGGCTCATAATGAAAATATCTGATTTGTATTAAATATTAAATATCGTGAGTCCTTTTAACCATTAAATTATTGTTATTACCTTTAGCTTTTCTTGGACATAAATATATCCATCCATATGGTGGTGATAATAATCAATCCAAAACTTACTATTCTAGTTGAATACAATCATGCATTTTTCTTTTATGAGTAAAAAATATAATATGAAGTTTTCTATTGATAAAGAACTCTGCCAATAATTTACTAACAGTTATTCTAATTTTAGAAACAAAGCTTATTAGTAAAGGATCACTAATTTATACTAAGGAATTATACATTTGGGGTGTGGGTCATAGAAGTTGACATTGTTTCCATTGTCTATGCCTAATTAACTACTCACCAAATTGATGACGTTGGTGATTTCTTGTTTATGTTATATTGAATTTTTACAAAATAATTTATTGTGACATTATTAAGAATTGAAGGTATAACTTTCAAAAGGTAATTTCCGTTTTTTTAGAGTAATAGTGCAATAGTGCAAGGAAATAAATAAAATAGTTCCTTCACTTGCTGTCCGTTTTGACCATGCGATTTGATAGTATTATGGGAGGCTGTCTAAAAATAGTGTATCAGCAAAAAACCAAAATCACATAAAGACCTTTTTTTGAAAAAAATTACGAATCATGCTATATATTAATATATTTTTTGAAATTTGAGCGTGTGGCACAGCGACAGGAGGTCTTCCAATCCTAGTAATATAGAAAGTCATGCATTTATTGTAAATCAAAAGTAAAAAACTATATTTACTTAGAAAGATATGAGCTGTTGGATTTGTCAGTTTCTGCTATTTAACAAGCAGGCAGTCCTATAAAATTCATATATAAAATAATTAGGATGTGTTCCAAAAGAATACCTTTACATAATATATTAAATGTAAGAAACAAATAAATTTATTTCCTTAATAACAATGGTAGCTGCTACTGACTTAATTTACTTTCACTGTATTTATTTATATCCTGAAAAAAAAACTTAACAAGTATATAACTATTACATATATAGTATTAAATAATTAATTGCCGATCCTTTTATAAATGGCAGAAAAATACTATTAAAATTTTGGGTAAAAATTTGACGATCTACTATGTTTTTTAAATGACCATAAAATGCAGCACAAAAAAAATTCACAAAAAAATATATTAACCTAAAATTTTAATCACGCGATGACTT